GTTGTTAAGTTGTTACCTGGAGAGGTATTACATAAGCAAGTTTTGCTTGTTTACCGATCCAGATTTCTTTTGAAATATAAATACGTTTAAGCCAACACAGCTAACCGTAAAACACATGATTGTAAACTATTCAAAAAGGGGCACTAATCTCTGGCTTCTTCTCGGGTGTCGGACTCAAACTCATTTATTCTTAGAATAACATGACATACAATTATCTACAATTTTTATTATGTACAATTTAATAAAAATAGGATACGTGGATACTAATACAATTTACCAATTGTATTGTACACATTGTTAAGGAATTTAGATAGGCCTTTTAGATTTCTTACACTGTTAGTGGTCATAATTTTCTTAAATGTTTGGAAACTTAAGATATTGCTTATTTAAGAGTTCATATCGCCGTTGGTGAAAAGCTTCACATCGGAATATATAATGCAATTCATCTCCCACAGCGATAGAATCACAGAGTGGACACTGGTTGTCTTCCCTGGGAATGTTCAGCCATCGACCAGTTTCAACTGGTACTCCTTGGTTAGAAAGTTCTGACTTTTAGTATTGGGAGAACTATTGATTTTGAGAGCAGTAGATGTTTTGCAAATGAAGGTTGGTTCTTCAGGTAACACGACCTTTGGATTTCCGCTTGGGCTTACTAGCTGCCGTGAGTCAATTTGCTCGTTAACGCAACCGAGCGTGACAAGAGACTGGGCTACCAGTCTGCAAGGACAGCTAAATAAACTTACGCATTTTTGAAAACTGATTGGTTACCCGTGATCTATGAAGATTTCAACAAAGGGCGCATGGTAATTAATTTCTTCAGCCTAAACAGACAAATAACGGCGAAAGCTCATCGGATGTCGTCATTTGGAAATACCCCTGATTGTTACAGTTTGATAATAAAAAAGTATCCCTGAGTGAAAGCATTTGCGGATTTCGGATTGCGTGGATGATACAATTACTACTCCCTTGTTGTCATCCACATTTTCTGGTATAACCCTACACTTCTGTATTTGTCGTAATTCACTTGCTGCTCAGTTAATGAATTTATAACATGTATACTTAGTTGTAGCACCACTCAGGTTACCCGATAAAGGTTCAAATTTGGTCTTTCTTGTACCTGGGGTAATTATTTAATCTAAATCCAGGTTTGAAGTGAGGTGGAATGTGAGTTATGCACGTCGCAGCCCAGCAAGTGATGTATGATCAGTTGCTTTACTTTTTTTGTAGATCAACTGATCATTCCCAGACATCAAAGGATCAACAGGAAATACGTTGATTGATTAATTACTGTTATCTTGCACAGTGGATATGTCAAAAGTAAGTGTTTACATGTGAAGGTAGGTTTACTAAACCTAGGGAATACTCATATCATGGCGTGAAGTACAGATGTAAAAACAACATACTTTGTTCAAAGGGTAACCGATAATACACTGACTGGTTGTTCATTGTTATCTAACTCAATGTATGTTTTAAAGCGGAATTGCTTTAGATCAGTGCTCCTTTGTACGTTGAAATACTATATATTGTGAATGCCAAAATGATGTATCAAGGATCAAGTAGAAGATACATTGACCGTTGCGCTGGGAGTTTATTCAACAGACCGTGAAAATAACACTGCTGTATCTTATTATTTATTTTAGATGACGCAGGCAAAGCTCACTTCTCCTGGCGGCCATTATCAAACGGCCAGCTAAAACCCCGCGCTTACGTCTACAGGTCTCTTCCTGTAGTACGGTAATTAGTATTCTCTCCCTCAAGTGTATCCTCAATGATATAACCCACCCTCATTAATTACATGCTGCTCTTTTCCAGCCTCACGGCTATGGAGCTGTGATAAAGAGTCCAAGTCATCATAAAGTAATTAGGGTCCAATAAAAACAATGCGCCGCCAAACCTCATACATATTATCACTGAAAGTCGTACTACAGACGGTTAATGTCAAATCACAATAAAAGCATTTCAATTGCAATAACATGTTCCAGGACCATGTATTCTCTTAACACCATCGGATTTAGAAGCAATGGTCGTATAAAACAAAACAGATCTATTTAATCGCAACAGTATTCATGTTATTCCCACAAAATCACATACAGAAAGGAGACATTAGGAAATACATGTGTATTATCATTTTTCGTCAGGATAACAAAATTTTCTCTCCTTGTTACCACCTCCAGGTTCAGCTTAACACGGGCCCTCCTTTGGTCAAAAGTTTGTTCCCCCTCTAATGAGTGTGTCACGCGTTGCACACGAGTGGCGGACGGGGTGCACTCCCGTGTGCAACGCGTTGCACACGGGTCTCACACGCGTGACCAACCCGATGCACACTGGTTGCGTAACGCGTTGCCCATGCGTGTAAGGGGAATGAACTTCTAGGCAGTAGTGTATACCATCAAATCTAAGTGGACTTAACAAATAATGAATAATTAATATTTCGGTGTGAAATGCAATTAAATTGGTTATGGACCGCGAAATAATGCTTAATTTCACATATAAATCTAGTATGAAAGGTTTTTAATGCTGCGTTTGTTGCTTTCAACTGTCGTTTGTTTCGTGGCGTTCTTGTACAAAATCCCACCCCTTTCATATTATCATCGTTGAAAGCAAAGAGTTCATACGCAATTCTCACTATGTTCACATAATTATATATTCTCTCAATTAAAAACAAAGTAGTTTTGTTTCCAAAATAACACGATCTATTGTTGAAGTTGCCAGAATACTTATAGATAAATAGTCATTGGATTTGTCATAGTGAGTCGTATATAGTGTTTCCAACATCACTCTTATTGGAACAAGAAGTATATTGACACTGTATTCATATATGAACCGTTCACATTTATTTGTAGTAAGATAACTAAAAACGAGTCAAGAGGCGTCACTCTATTATCTAACAGAACCCTAAACGAATTAACAGACATTAAAACGGTAAGTTTTCGAAATATAATCAATACCCCATTCTACAGTTCAATATTTCTCTAGTGCATGCTCGCCTCAGACTCGGGTTTAGTTATGTAACTGGTCATGTATAAGATTTATATCTGAATGCTTGATGAACACAACGGATCCAATTCTGTTTTAGTGCATGGAAATTACAGTAAAGTTAAGATCTACAATAACTGGTTGCGAACTAGTTACAGTTTTATAATTTCCCTGTATCAAGAAGAAAAGATTTGGCATAATGCTCAGGTCGGCAATTAATGGTTGGCAGTTTTATCTCTTTCTAGAGTGATAGCTTTCATTATGGAAGAATGATATTTGAATTTCACACTTTCTAAAGTGACGGTTATCTGAAGATTGTCAACATATTCATCTTTTGAATTCCGATTACCCTCACGTGTATCTTATCATAACATTTTACGCATAAGTCTTTAATGGTTCTCGCTATTGGTGAAATTGTGCCGTCTATGTACGACTATGATATTTTTAATATATCATAGTTCAAAAGACGTTCTCGTCAACTACGGACATACCCAATGTCGTATTCTCGTTATGAAAAACCTACCTCGCAGTCGTGAAATGGTATCAAGGACACTAAACTAATTAAATATTTTATCTGGGAGTGGTATAGCCGGAGTTGTACTGAGACATTTCAGAAATTAACATACTCTCGACTCACATTCACTTTCGACAACTTAGACAGTAGTTTCGTATGGTATGAAAGCAACTTCTAAATCTGTTTGAAAAATCGCAAAGAAAAGCTGTTTACATGTAACGCATTGCCATCTAATTTACATCATATCGTCAAACAAGACATTGTTTTCAGCTTTCATTAATCAATATCTTCTACGCAACATAACATCTACATGGGAGAAGTAAAATGATTACTTACTTATTCAGTTGTTAATCCGGCCCTCTCCAGAAACTTGACCAGTTTCTTAATCTACGATGAATGGCAACTTGAGCAGGCAGCTGGGCAAACACAGGAATGTGATGATTGTTGAAGCATACCAAACAGGGTATACTCTGCCGCTGAGGAGAACGTGTCATATAGCACCAATGACCTACCACGTGACATAGCGAGCAGTCACGTGATATGTTACGCGCGAGAAGTTAATTCCATGGTGTGCAATAGTCTTCATTCCAAACTGACGCCATCTTTCAGTGCTTTTATACAAACAACATTATATTTTATTCATTTAGTTTTTACTTACCTTTTTTAAATAAAATTCACTTTCTGTGAAGCAGACGTTAAATAAACGAAAGAAACAACTCATTTTAGTATCTGAAGTAATCCTTAACTTATTATCTTAAAACTCACCTCTAGTTTTTACATAATATTCAGTTAGATTATTTACCATATCTTGTTTTGTGTTTGTACCCGTCGGGCACATCCCATTTGTGAAGCCGATGTTGAATGATGATGTGACACTCCCACTCCAAATAAAGGGGATAATAGAATATAAATATTTCAGATAACACTTACTGTTACCTTTAATAAATCTTTTCCTTGTTGTTGTTTTTAATGAATAAAAATAGCTTTTTGGGGTGATTTTTTTGTATCTAAAGATAGTAACCCGGCATGATGAAAGGACAATGTATGAAACGATGAAACAGAAGCAACATATATAACGGAATACGGTTGGTCCTTATAGCCTTCTGTTCTATTTGTAGGAACAGACTAAGCAAGAATGCTTCGCTGTGAACTTAATTTTTTCAGTGAAACCCCTATCAAAATACTACCCTTGTTTCTCTTTTCAAAGATTCTAGTTTTCACCTGTTTTGTCTGGTTTAAATTTAACAGTTTTTATTCAGAAAGGCCATACGCCTTTCATACGACAATTCACTGCAATAATGATGAGAAAAACAGATTGAGTTATATCATTGTAGATACAATTACTGGTAGCTGCATATTATATTTTGGCACTATTTACCACGAAAAGACCAAATCATGAGCAAATTTAACTGAAATGTAAAGTGGCTACTCTTTATATTTATTTTCTTATCTTCCTTGTCTATAATCATATGACATTGCCTATGAAATTTGAATAAATAAAAAAATATTTTGTTTTCCCATACCGACTGACGATTGTCGTAGAACAAAGATCGTTTCTACAATAGAGGGCCTCATTAGTAATATTTGAACTAATATATTATATTTTGTAAACGCTTTTGCTGGCTGTGACCTAGGCAAACCATGATGTTTTTAGAAGAATCTGCTTTGTTTAAATCACAATCACTGATCCAAACATGTGCGCCAATATGTTAATCCTTCAATAAGATTATCTTATCGTGAGAAGAAAGGTGCCGTTTATGAACTGTGCGTTGCGACTCAACGTTCAACTGAATTGTGAAAACATTTTAGTATTGGGCAGAGACGTCCACATTATACAAATTCTCACTTCCGTTTAAAAAATCCAAAATGCATATATACTTAGACGTCTGATGGCCAGTTACGTTTGAAACGCGTTGAAAAAAGGCTGTTCATTATCTTGGATCGACTTTTTGCAATGGAAGAGGCATCACTGCATGGAATTTGGTCAGAGTCAGGAGAAAGCTCAGGTAAGACCAAATATCTACATATTTATTTATGTAAAGACATCGGTTTATTTCTGTGTAAATCACCATATAGAGGAGATACATTATCGTTCGATATTATTATATTATGCAAAACATCACACATAAGATTATGAAATGTTTTCCCTTTCTGAGATATTGCTCATATCTGACAAATATACAAACAGTGTAAAGGAATCGTTTAGTGCCATATACATGAATATAGAAATGTAATGACTACTCTATTAACATAAGACGTTCGATATAGAGTTGTGAACGGACCTAACAATTTACATCTACCATCTTTTATTATCTCTGTCGCAGAAAGCACACTTCGTTGTGAACTGCAGTGTTATAGTGAGAACCTTTGACACAGAAGACAATTATTTCTAAAATATGTTCTAAAATAACGTATCGCTTTACCGTATGCATGTACATAGTATAACGTTAGTTGTTATCTATTAGATTTTTGATCCCCGTACATTGCTAAAACTGCACAATGCGACACCCGGGTATACGACTATTAAAAAACCTCCAATACAACAATGTTGATAAACAAAGATTATTTGTGATATCTACAAGCAGTGTCACAATAAAACTGAAGATTTTGATTTTGTATCGCCTATGAAAAGTAATTTATTCTGCAAACATGCAGTGCCACGGAAACTCTAACTATCTTTTATTAAGAAGCTGCATATGTGTTATTTCGTTTAAACAATTTGTAACTACAGTTTGAATCCCCTTTTTAACATGGACATATTATACACTTGATGAGATTGTTTGCGCGGCTCAGTTCTCAATTCACATGTTTGACAAATGGCACTATAAAACGTTGGTAAAAATATCAAAAACAGCCTTTTTAATTTGGAATAGTATATGCCCAATGACGGTTTGGCAGAAACCACAAAAAAGTATAGATTGTCAATAACATGTCGCACATACCGGGCCCTAGTTCAAGATCAAAGATAATTGCCGCCTTGGAATGTCTAGCGGAATGATTGACACCTGTTATCACTGTAAATGTCTTGTCAAGGCTTGACTAACGATGACTCAACGCCAATTTAAAGAGGACATTACCACATGTTTATTGATAAACATTGAGAATAACCATAGACAGTATGGCGCCGCTTAATTTGACTGTCTGCCGCTTTCACACTGATTTGACAATATGCATAGGTAACACGCGTTACTGCCGCATGAGTTTGTTATTTTCTATGATGGGTAGTGATACGTGTGCGATTTATTTGCAATGAAACTTAGCCAATTCTCTATGACATCGGCATTTGTGCACGGGAACCACGGCGTGTATGTTTATTTCTCTCAAATTAATTATTAATTACTACAGTCACCTACTACAATATTTTGGGTTATTTGTCATTTGGATATTTTCTTAATAACTTAAGACAAATAATTGATATATGAATTATTTATATTAATATGAATTCAGGCTCTTGAAATAGAGTTTATTAACATCATTCCTCTATTTGGCTGGCATTTTGAGTAGATTGTTCTGACTAAATCTAGTTCCACCATGCAAACTACATGTTTTCCTCTGAATTTATAATCAGTATCTCTTCAATTGTAATTATTCTACCTGCGTTTTATGTTATAAGAAAACCGAACAGTTATCATCATTCGATAGGACAAAGGCTTAACTATGCTTCTTACCCAAACTACCAAACTAAGTATTCAGATGTGTGACCATATCCCTACAAACACGCTAAAACCAAGCAATCCCATTTCACTTACATATTGTTTGAAACACATGCTAGTCAATCGCAAAATACTGATTCGCATTTTAGATTCAAGGTAAGCAATGCATTATATACTTACAACATATTTATCATGTTCAATTTAAGGATCCGAATACCAGATCGACGAGGAGGACAAGAGTGACACATCGTCGGAATTTGCCACCAATTACCAGGTATTAATTGAAATAGTGAATAGATTATTCACTGATTATCCGGGGAAGTTAACAATTTTTGATTTAAACAATATTTCATTCGGAAATAATATAACGATACAGAATAGGGAAAAGGTGAACCGAAAACTAAATATCTATACTAAGTCTAACATCTTTCCTCTTACAATAATGTACGCAGTAACTATATTCTAATGTAAATGAATAACATTTTGTAAAAAGGAAATACGGTGAGACAGTTAAGTAATGTTGTAGCATTTATTTCGGTTTCTTCATGTCCCAGGAAACTATACGCTGGTCTCTTGTAATAGAGTAACATGAATGTTTTATTAGTAGACTGAATGTGTGTCTGTATGAACTGAATTGTATCATCATAGTGTTGACCCAAAAGGAATATCGCCAAGGTGAACGAGACAAAAATATTGAAAAAAATCATAGAGTAGGTTAGGAAAAAAAGTCATGGGAAAAAAATCATAAACAATAAAATCTGTATGCATATCAGTTTTATTCAAGTAACAACAAGTGATCTGAAGACTAAATAAATAAAGTCCTGTTCTGTTCTTAAGACGCCGTCATGATTAGTTGGCGCCAGCCTAGACTGTCCAATCAACGTGAATATACAAACCGTGATGTTACTTGACCAGTTGATGGCACCTGTCAAACTCAAAGTGCCCCTGGTCCTCCACCCACCATGTGTAATACTTTAGCGCACTTGAACGTTTTATGTGCAGCTATATCACTGTTAGGCTGAGTGATGAGAGAATAAATTTGGTCGTTTTTGTTAACGATCGTTTTTATGTTCAACCTGGTAACCTTATAAGTGACTAACTGTTTTATCATGATGAAATGAAACATAAAAAAATAATCAGAGGGAATGACGGTCGCATTTTTCGCATACATGTCATGCTCGCATTAATTTCATGATTTACTCAAGATAGATTTGAGCAACGATCATGTTTGGGTAAGGGAGATAATTTTGTCTCCGCTTGCAATTGGTTTCAATCGGACGAGCAGCTCCGAGATCGCAGCTTGACTGTTCGGTACGGCCGAAACGCGGCATCCATGTTGTTCACGCTCCTTAGATCACGCGGCCTCATTGGCCTGACGAGACATAGCTCTACATGCCACTATCGCTTTGCTTCAGTTTCTGCCAGTCTATACATGTACCTTTCTTGAATCAATTAACGATTTCATTGTCAAAGTGGTCTGATTTCAGTAATGTTAATGAAATCGGTGTTGTAATATATTATAAACTTGAACATTGTGCACTATCTGTTATACATCTGTCAGTTATATATGTAATATTCATATTGTCAGGGATTGTTTTACTAAATGTGTTAACACTTATATCACCCGTTTACATCATCTGCTGCTAGTGTCGAAAACAAGTGTTTGACGAATTCAAGTTTTACCGCATAACCATATTGTGGAAACATTTTAATTTTGTATTTGGTCTCATCGTAGAGTCCAGTCAAGCGCAAGAACAAAATCTTGAGACAAAGGGAAGAAAATGGAAAAAAGAATAGATTAGGAAGCGGTCCAGTTGCCTCATCTACACCTATGACAAGAGTTTACGACTTTTCAGGTATTTCTTACCGAACTTTACAATAATGGTTCCTAATTAGTGGCCAGGTTGAACTGTTGAAATGTGTCTGTGATTGCAGAAAGTGTCTCTCATAACCTGTAATGGGTTGTTCATACATAATTGTTTTAAATAGATTTTATATTGTAAATATGAGGTGAGACTGTAATAAAATATCTGTCTGTAATTACGACAAGTAGGACTGACCGTTAGCTTTAGCAGTCCACGTGAAGCAAAAAAAGTATAACGTTTGTGACTCGCCTGCAGTCGCAGATGAATTTCTTTACCTTTTTAAATGTCCAGGGCTCAATCATCAAAGAAAAACATGAACTGTAAATTATTGTGCATGGCAAAATGTATATAAACTTTACAAATGTATGCAGTCTAAAAACTATTATGTTCGAGCAATAAAGCACGTTCAAGATAACTGATTCATATATTTTCATCAACCCAAGCCCATTTCTTAAATTGTACTTTTCTATGCAGATGGAGAAGATGACGGTCAGGACTTACTGAGAAGAGCCTCAAGCTGTAGTATGTATTTTCATCAAACACAATTCTATGAGCAGGTTCATGAATTTTCTTGTCACATTCGTGTAGTTTAACATGTAATTTGCTTTCATTTCAATCAGAGATTATCGTAGGTATGCTTAGACACGCAGTTATTTTCAACATCTAAATGGATATTCATAAAGATAAATGAAATCCGTATCCATCGGCGATCAATGGTATGTAGTGCATCGATGTGTCTGCAATTTGCTTAGAAAATAGCACTCATACGGCATCTGATAAACAAATTAATGTTTCAGAGAAACAAGCTGCAATTCAAGCTGAGACTCCTCGTATGAGACAAGGTATGTCACACAACGTATGAAATGATTTTTCGCATTGTATGAATAATCATACATTTATATGATTTTGGCACATCTTTAGCTGCCACAAGATACGCGGAATGACACAGGAGGAACATCTCCATTATTGATAAGGATTGCTTAATCGACATTAAAATGCCCTAGCTAATGATATTCAAACACTCATTCGTCAACACCAATTACATTCGACCAGCAACAAGATCATTTAATGTAACTATCCTTTTTATGTTTGCCGCTGAGGCTTGTCTTATATTCCAGCGGGATTTCAAATGACTGCAACCTAGTGCTTATAACACTTCAGATTGCAGTTGATGGCAAAATTAGCTTACTCTTTTTAATAAGAATATCAAGGAGGGGTAGTTCTGTTTGGCTCGAATATATTTTGAATTTGATATTTGAGTGCATATTTTGGAGAAGGTTGCACTTGAATTTTTCCCAGAACGTAAAACGGTCATCCAGGTGCTATGTAAGTATTTAATGTTTCTCTTAATTACAGGAAAGTCAATCCCCTATGCGGAATTTCTCCAACTCATGAGGGTCATGGAAGGACGACTTCACAGGGCCATTACAGATTTGAAGGGCGAAGTCGGCGACCTTAAAAAGGAAATTGGAAACTTAAACAGCGAGGTTAGAGACCTCAAGAGCAAACTTACTGAAAAGAATACACAGGTAAGTGATGATAGTCAACACTGTATTCAGTTTAAAATGCATTCTCGATATGATTTATCGTGTTTCAAGGGGAAAATTATAGTTAAATATATATTTACGTGTCATTACAAGGAAACATTGATTTTAAAAATTGCATCCAGCCAGTGTTGGATCATGCGATATAACAGAACTAGTAGGGCATACCATGATACGTTTCACCGTCAATTTTCACTATATTTGTATTTCCAGGTTACCGCCCTAACTGCAAAAGTTACACGTTTGGACAACAGGGTCCAGGAACCAACACAAACTTCGACCAAATCCAGCAAAGTCAGTACAAACATAAGGGTAAGATCCAAGCAAAACATCAAAACGGCGGATATGTGGAAAACCGTGTTTAGCGACCGAGATTATACAGCGCGTTAAACGAGGGCAATCAACATAAACTATGTGTTGTTATTGGGAAGAAAAACACCATAACGATTGTTTTCCCGAAGTACTCGGCACTAATAAGCGGATTAAGGTTCAATTCAGATACTTTCGGCTTGAAAGCATTCACTTTCTTTATCTAAAATAATATTTGGCATGGGGGAGATTGCACTAGTGTAATGATAAAACACCACTTTGTTTACAATCAAGTTGTAAACAATCAAGTTGTAAACCAACGCATGGACCTGTTACTGTTGTGGTACGGTATATTGTAGACATGGAGCATAGAGTGTTTTTGTATGTTGGATGAGTGTGTTTGGATGAGAAAGTGTTTGTATGCGTGAACGTTGTGTTTGTGTCCAGAATGGTAAATGCGTATGAGTTTCGTATGTATGCAAGTATGAAAGTAATTATGTCTTGAGTGTATGTGTGTGAACGTTACGTAAATTTGTGCATGGAGGTATCTGAGTGAGGTAGGTATGTTGTGGTGTGTCCACAGAGGTGGATGTGGGATGCAACTGTATTTTATTGTAATTTTTTAATTTTTTTTAAATGGCCAGGTGTATCTATTTTAAATAGCTTGGGTTCAGCAATCGCATTAATTTCACGATTTACAGTAATCGATGCGTTTCTCATAAGACAATATCAAGTTTCGATAGATTTATCTCACAGATAAAATCACCAATATTGATTCTTTCTATTGTCTGTTAACTATATTTTATCAATTTTCTTCCTTAGGCAGCATTGAAGGCAGCGATCGACCATGCTGAAACTGAGAAAGGGTGGACTATGGAGCCTATGTTCACGTAAGTATCGTAGTGTGCAGTGATCATTTTGGAAAGGACGATATGTTCATTCTGTTACAATCATTTAAATAATTCGAAAATATCATTTTTACCATACTTGACAACCATTTGTTTGGAGTCGACTTACACCAGGAAAACGCTGTGGCATTGTAAGCACTATTTCTGTTGATATGTGTATCTTTGCGTCTGTGAGACCGAGTATGTAACCTATATAATTATTTATCTCTTTTTAAACCCCTATAGGTTTGTCGCTGATAAAAGTTAATCAAAACTATCAAAAGTCATATGTAATTTATCTTTGTTTCACTTATACTTTTATTACAGTACTTTTTATTCAGATGAATAGATAGGCTTGTTTTAAAATCTTATCGCATTTTTAGTGTTCATTTTACCTCCATAATCAATGAACGAGTCGCAAAGTTTTGTGTGCCTCAAGTTTTTCTGATAAAATTGGAGGTACATCCGAAAAAGACTGTTACGCAATTTTGGCAAAAATAATATTTTCTTAATACCACCACGATTACTTCTCTTCCATGAATCCCGTTTCAGTAGAAAATAGTCATAAATAAAGTCTTAGGAATCTTTGTAATGGGAAATTATATGAGACAGTCACATAAATATATATCTTTTTGTTATTTTTGTACCAGAAAACTGTACCACCAATATATCTCAAATCTAAACGAATATGTCTTAATTATGCAGTGAAATTATACCTAATAATCTAGCTTCTTTTAGTTACTTCAAAATAAGTTAATAAGTTCATGCTGAAGTCGTTAAAGAAGATTATATGTAATAGTTATTGGCATATGTATATTTCTGGTCATATAATAAAAGTAAAACATTTGTTGCAGGTTGGAGTCCGCACAGAATCGACAAGTTGTCAAATACATCTGGGACTTTTCTAAGGTGATAGCTCCAAGCATGACAAAACAGGAATTTAAAGGTATTTTTATCATTTAAGTGTATTTCAAATGCATGTGTCCGTCATGTACATTTTTAAAACATTTCAATTCCATAAGTCAATGCAAAGGTACACATGCCTACTAGTGGAAAGATTTAAACCTTTTTTCAGTGTTTTGAAATGACTTATCTATGATGCGTAACATTCCCATTAGTCTGTCAGGAAAGAATTATATAGCAGCATTCACAGGTAAACTAATGGTTAAAGACTTGCTGTACACTATTTGAAGATATGGAAAAAAGACCGGTATGTTGCAGTTCACATCCAAATAAGGAAAGAAACATTATGTTCCAGATGGTATGACCAGGATCATGTTAACGAAGAAAGAGAAGCTATCCCGAACACGTAACGGAAAAGAGAAAGAACACACGGACGCGTCCAGAAAGAATTCAAGGAAACTGACGGTAAGTTGAAAGATTTGTGTTGCTGGAGGGATTAAATACCCCCTTAGGATATAAAATTTGGATTATTGAAGATGAATTTTGAGTGAAGCTTAACTTGGGCAAAGTAAGGCCAATTATTGGAAGTGTTTGAGGTGTGACTTTATATAGGCCTGTTGGCCATGGCCGCCGAGTTAAAAAAAAGAGAAATTTAGAATGAGGTGAGTGGCGCCTTATTAATATATAATTAAAAGGTGCCCAGTGGAGTAAGGTTATAGGGAGAGGTGGAATTTGGAATACATATGTTTTTTGCAGAATTAACAGCAGGATAGATTAGAATAGAGAATTTTATTAGGACAACCGGGGTGTATAAAAATTGGTAAATTGCCTGCTTTTAATATTTACCTATTTACCCTTATATAGTTTACACCCCGGGTAATTTTCTGTTGTTCATATTATGAGTGTATACACTACAATTCTAAGACGGAAAGGCCGTCATGTGTTGTCTAGACTGTCCAATCAACGTGAGTTAACAAACCGTGATCACTTGACTAGCATTGATTAGCTTGTCTATAATGCCCACCTTTGTAACATGTCAATATATTGCTTTGTCATTATATCATTGTAATTAGTGCTGAGAAAATGTTGTTATGAACAGTGGCACGACCATCACCCGACACCTGTATATATTCAATGTGTTACGTGACAGACTATTTCTATTATCCCCCAGTCTCTGTCTTGTTAGTTAACGCCAAAGTCGACACACGCGTAGCTCAGCTATTTTAGTCAGTCTTCTAATGACTGGGACAACACACACGACTTGTGTAACTTGTTTATAATTTCAATCACTGTTCAGAAAACATTTGTGGAGGTGTAATAAACCACAGGCGCGAAAGAGATTTTTTTTTAACCTTTAATATGAAAGTATATATTTTACAAGAGCTTTTTGCCAGTCTAGCTACCACTCGCTCGTCTTCTACATAAGAGTAAAAGTGGGGCACATCTCTGCCGGTATTCTTCCATGTATTCGCATAACAGCTTCGAAATAATATTTTGGGCGTCCATTGATGCACATATGCATCGGAGAGTCAACTAGGACATTGGCAAATGAATTCATGTAAATGCAATATCATCATACAACGTGTTTAGAAAATAATAAGAAGAAGAAGATTCCAAGCGATGCTCCCGAGTGCTTTGCCGGTACTGACGTCAGTGGTTAGGGCTTGTGGTTTTGCACATTAGTAGATAATAGAATCCAGTCAATATATATAATATCGTTTTTTAAGTCTTTCACAGTATTTTAACCTGTGAAATAAACTCATCATAATACTTATTAAGAGGTGTGTCGCTAATCACCTCGGGATATCTTTGATATTCCATGTATAACTTTGCTCTGACTTATTGAATTTCCTATTTACCTGGCTTGAATCAATTCATATACAGAAGAGTAAAACGACTGAACCTGCATACATTTTAAGCGGTCATTGATCAAAGGATATTATGAGGCGTACTACTTTTTGTTTGTCAACATCACGCCTCGAAACATTTTATAAAGTAAACCGTGACTGTTCTGTTGTTAAAATTAGGTATTACTGAAACGGATTTTTTAGCAGTTGTCAATATATGAAATAATAGGTGATGTGTATCCATTAATGCCCATCCGACGGATATGTTTCCATTACCAAGCCTAGTAAGGCAAGGTTGCCTGTTGTCCTCAATACTATTTTGTGTTGAGCAATACGATTTAGCAACAAAATTTAAAAAATCATTGGCTTGCTATTATATGCGTATGAATTTCTCTTTTAACAGCAGGGTTTTGCCCGGTCTCAGTAATACTGAATTGTATAAACGTTGTTAGGTAAGGTTTAAATCTTACCATTTCTTGGTAGTTATTATTGTCGTTGCAAGAAATTAATAGTTTCTTTTAAATGTTACTTGACGAATTTACATTGCACCCTCAATGTAAATGTGTTGTCAATATATTCAAATAGTTGAAATCATTTCCTAAATAACTAATGTTACACAAATAACACTTTCCGCCATAAAAAGGTACATAACGCCATCTTTCTACCTTTATAGAAACCCTGAGCGTCACCCAATGACCCTAATAAATCTGTCACCCGCGGCCGCATGTATATGCACATAGAAAATTGGTTAGAGGTAGATATGCCACAAATACAATTACAGAAACTCTCAGAATATGATAAATTAGGAAGCATTTGTTTTTAATGATTTAAAGAATGGTTTATCTCATATAAAGAAGGCCAACAGACAATGCCTATATGAAGTTCCCTCCAGACAAATTCCTTCCACATAATTTACTACATGTATTGCATCTCAGAGGACTGTACCTTGGGTACTGAAACAGATAATGAACATTACCCTGATAAATGTAACCACAACTAGAAGATAAATTATGAGGAGCAAATCTATCAAATTTGTAGCCATTTATTTCACTACGTTCTTATCTAAATGTACTATGTACTATCCAATTCTTTCCGTTACCAAATATTCTATATTGATGAGTTACATTACTATCGATCCGGACTTTCGTTGTCAAACATGTTAAATCGACACAAATTAGCCTCGAGCAGATCACCACTCAGCTGCCCAGCCATTCCACAGAGATTTTTCTTAAATTGTTCTGATAAACAAAACCAAAATATCGGAATCGTAACTGACATATCTCCCTTACTTGCGATATGTTCCAATGTTGTTAGAAATGTCGTGTCATTTTAAAACGTATATAAATCCAATCATACCTTCAGATCATTGTTGTAACATGTCTTTTGGTAGTATATTTATCTATACTACGAAATGTTTCATGTTTCATACTCTGTGGGGAGTGACTAATATTCACACCAAGTACCAGATAGATAGTTAGGAATGTAACGATGCGTATAACTATAGTTGCTGCAATTGCTTCTCTGAAATGAGAATAAAATGTTTCATGTTTGTTATTCCTGCATTAAAACGTCTTAAATAACTCCTGCTTGTACGCAGTGAGTTTTACTTTAGGAGTTCAACTGCAAATAATATGTACTATGAGTTGTAAGTTAATGTTACTGAAACTTGAAGATTATCTGTAGACTTCTTTTTATAGATTTAGATATATATTTCTTCCCATTTACAGAATTTCGATTTATAGTGACTCTAAACACAACATGCTCAGGACAAACTATTCTACTGAAGTAATGGGCACATTTCTGTTTTGTCTTCGTTTTATTTCGTGTTTAAGAAAGGTGGGTGTTATAAAGTGAACGGTTTTGCTTTCAGAAAAGCAGAAACCGTGTAACTGGCATTGAAAAATCCGAACTACCTCATCACACAAGGACCAAGTACATTCGAGTAATGAAAAAAACGCAGCTCATGTCGTCAGAAGAGAGTTCGGTCGACGAGGATGGCAACCGGGTCTTCAATGTGAGAAGGAGGGACTGGGAGAGTCATGAAATGAGGGCCGCTAAAAAAGTGGCCGACGAGACATTTAGTAAAACAACCAAGACAGCAGCGTCCATCGTACCACGGACGAGACGAATTACAGGTGTCTCGTCATTTGCACCACCTCCTGCCTGGTTGCAGAAAGAAGACAGCTGGGTCAGCTCAGCACTGACATACCATGGAGTAGTTTAGAATCATCATCATTCATATCCTCATCAGAACATGCTTACTTACTTACTAAAAGGGGTGTTTTTATAGGTTAGGAATTTTAGGGTTTATTGGCAGCTTGTTTTTTGTCCTTTTTTTTTAAATGCGGCCAAGTAGGCCTGGTTTGATTATATAGATGCTTAGTGCTTCAAAGGTTTAAAGTCATGTAGGGGGTTCAGTACAGTCATGTGATTGTTGCAATTTAGTGAGGATTGGAGTGTTGTTTGGTCTGTGTTGCTGGTAATGTGTTCCATAAAGTATTGAATAGGGCGCTCTAAATGTAAATGTCACACGGGAATAATACGTGTTCGGGCGTTTCTTTTTAAGTTGCAGTGGGGGTATTTACCGGTTTGGTGGTTTTTTTAATTAGGTGTAGGTGAGAGCTTAACTTAGTGTGGCCTGTTTGTAGTTTGGTTATTACTCTGTCAATGTTTTTGGTTTTATGATGGATATGTTTTTTTGAGTGGCGTTTTAGTTTGCAATCATATTTCTGATTGTTATTTTGCCGCTATTTTCGTTTGAGATACTTTTAATTCCTTTTTTTTTATTTTGGTAGGTTGATGCTTGGGATGCTTACTTCTTCTAATTTTAGTGCTGATTTGGCTGCTTTGTCTACATGTTCGTTGCCAAACACCCCAACGTGGGCAGGGATCCAAACTATTTCTATGTCTTTACCTAGTTTACGTAGATTGTTGGCGCTTTTATCTGTTGTATTAGTTTGGGGCGTTTTTTGTGGTTTTGTTTTTATGGCCTGGAGCCCACTTAATGAGCCGGGATGCGCATGAATCACGGTCGTCAAAACGAATATATTTACCAATTATATGAAGTCAATTAGCCAGTTCAAGAGACAATACCCTGGTGTAATTAAGTCGCATGCCTCTGGTTCACGGTTCGTCTGATCTCCCGTCATAAAACCACGATGTTTATTTACCTGGAGCCCCAGACAGCGCTGACTTCCCTGTGTGCAAGTACGTACATGGCAATAAATGGTTTGACAGTTGTTTGACGGAATCCCCCCCCCCCTCCTTCTACCTTTTATGGCATATTTCAAAATTCCAAACTTGACCTGTTTTGTATATATGTATATATTATTATGTTAATATGGACAATGGTAAAATTCATAATCACAGTTCAAGGGCTGTTCACAAATTATGTAAATCTGCTTCGTGATGAATGAAGCATGGTAATAAATGTATGCATCTGAGTCATTTGTTCTGTATTCTTTGATGAGAATGAGTTTTCTTATATTAATGATGATTACTCTCACAGAATATTTGATAAGAGGATAGGACTTTCAGTTGAGAATAGTTATGCAAAAGTATAGGCGGTCTGTGCACATGTGGTAAAACTGATATATCATTGACATGATAATCGGGACTTGGAAATCATAGTCTCTCATTATATGACATAAATACACGTCTATAAGGACGCCCGACTTGTTCACGAAGCGTAATTTCAGGTTATCTGAAATCTGTCGGTTTGGAATTATTATTTTTTGTTTGTAATAAGGATAACAAAAACATGTTTTGTATTCTATTGAAGCATTCATAAATAATTCAGTGTTCGTTTCCCGCGGTTAAAGAGTTTAAACTGATTGCAAACTGATTTTAAAATATATGGTTCTGTCTGTAGTACGTCCTGATGTCATAATATTATGTCGTAAACATGTTAAATAAAACAATTATTGATAACTTCCTGAATTCCAATTGTTCAATGAACAGAATTATTCACAGCTCTGGCCTGAGACAACAATCAATTAGATGTTACTAAAGATTGTCCATTCTATGATCTTAGGCACATGTCGGCGCACTTACATGTGAGCCGTCTAGACGACCGTCTGTTTTGTCATTAAATGGCAGCTGCCATCCAGCCGAATACTTAATCTTGAGACCTATTAGGGTCTTGTCGAGTCAAGTGCGGGTCTCTCTCCCACCTTAGGGACTGAGACTGTAAAAGCCCCTCGCTACACAGACAAGTAGTGAATGTTTGAGATAAATATATTATTATATAGTTTAAACTCAATAAATAACTGTTGTTATTGTCCAAATTACTGATAAAACATATTTTAACTTTTTCCTTCTAACCATATTTCCAAACCATTCCAAACCATTCCAAGCCATTCCAAACATTTCCAATTTTGGAAATATGCTTGGAAATGTTGCCATTCCAATTTTGGATTTTTTGGAAAGATCGATCTTTCCAAGCTTTGGAAATGTTGGAATGAGCGATCTTTCCAAAGAAATCCAACGATCATTCCAAATTGGAATGGACGCTATTTGGTCTTGTGATATAACCTTTATGTCTCCTCCTAAAATGTATACATTATTTCATTATCACCATGTACATATAACATTGATGTCTCCTCCTAAAATATATACATCACTTCAATATCACCTCATTCCATGTACTTATAACCTTTATGTCTTCGCCTTAAATGGATACATTACTTCAATACCACCTCATTCCAAGTATATATAACCTTTATGTCTCCTCGTAAAATGTATACATCACTTCATTATCACCTCATTCCATATATATATAACCTTTATGTCTCCTCGTCAAATGTATACATCACTTCATTATCACATCATTCCATGTACATATAACATTTATGTCTCCTCCTAAAATGTATACATCACTTCATTATCACCTCATTCCATGTACATATAACCTTTATGTCTCCCCCTCAAATGTATACACCACTTCATTTTCACCTCATTCCATGTACATATAACCCTTATGTATCATCCTAAAATGTATACATTACTTCAATATCACCTCATTCCATGTACATATAACCTGTATGTCTCCGCATAAAATGGATACATTATTTCAATATCACCTCATTCCATGTACATATAACATTTATGTCTCCTCCTAAAATATATACATTACTTCAATATCACCTCATTCCATGTACATATAACCTGTATGTCTCCGCATAAAATGGATACATTATTTCAATATCACCTCATTCCATGTACATATAACTTTTATGTCTCCGCCTAAAATGGATACATTATTTCAATATCACCTCATTCCATGTATATGTAACCTTTATGTCTCCGCCTAAAACGGATACATTATTTCATTATCACCATGTACATATAACATTGATGTCTCCTCCTAAAATGTATACACCACTTCATTATCACCTCATTACATGTATATGTAACCTTTATGTCTCCTCCTAAAATGTATACACTACTTCTTTATCACCTCATTCCATGTACATATAACCTTTATGTCTCCTCCTCAAATGTATACATCACTTCATTATCACCTCATTCCATGTACATATAACCTTTATGTCTCCTCCTAAAATGTATACATTATTTCATTATCACCATGTACATATAACATTGATGTCTCCTCCTAAAATATATACATCACTTCATTATCACCTCCTTCCATGTACATATAACCTTTATGTCTCCGCCTAAAATGTATACATCACTTCATTATCACCTCATTCCATGTATATGTAACCTTTATGTCTCCTCGTAAAATGTATACATCACTTCATTATCACCTCATTCCATGTACATATAACCTTTATGTCTCCTCCTAAAATGTATACATCACTTCATTATCACCTCATTCCAAGTATATGTAACCTTTATGTCTCCTCCTAAAATGTATACACCACTTCATTATCACCTCATTCCATGTACATATAATCTTTATGTCTCCTCCTAAAATGTATACATCACTTCATTATCACCTCATTCCATGTACATAGAACATTTATGTCTCCTCCTAAAATGTATACATCACTTCAATATCACCTCATTCCATGTACATATAACATTTATGTCTCCTCGTAAAATGGATACATCACTTCAATATCACCTCATTCCATGTACATATAACCTTTATGTCTCCTCCTAAAATGTATACATTATTTCATTATCACCATGTACATATAACATTGATGTCTCCTCCTAAAATGTATACATTACTTCATTATCACCTCATTCCATGTTCATATAACCTTTATGTCTCCGCCTAAAATGTATACATCACTTCATTATCACCTCATTCCATGTATATGTAACCTTTATGTCTCCTCCTCAAATGTATACATCACTTCATTATCACCTCATTCCATGAACATATAACCTTTATGTTTCCTCCTAAAATGTATACGTCACTTCATTATCACCTCATTCCATGTATATGTAACCTTTATGTCTCCTCCTAAAATGTATACACCACTTCATTATCACCTCATTCGATGTACATATAATCTTTATGTCTCCTCCTAAAATGTATACATCACTTCATTATCACCTCATTCCATGTACATATAACATTTATGTCTCCTCCTAAAATGTATACATCACTTCAATATCACCTCATTCCATGTACATATAACATTTATGTCTCCTCGTAAAATGGATACACCACTTCAATATCACTTCATTCCATGTACATATAACCTTTATGTCTCCGCCTAAAATGTATACATTATTTCAATATCACCTCATTCCATGTATATGTAACCTTTATGTCTCCGCCTAAAATGGATACATTATTTCATTATCACCATGTACATATAACATTGATGCTTCCGCCTAAAATGTATACATCACTTCAATATCACCTCATTCCATGTACATATAACATTTATGTCTTCTCGTAAAATGGATACATCACTTCAATATCACCTCATTCCATGTACATATAACCTTTATGTCTCCTCCTAAAATGTATACATTATTTCATTATCACCATGTACATATAACATTGATGTCTCCTCCTAAAATGTATACATTACTTCATTATCACCTCATTCCATGTTCATATAACCTTTATGTCTCCGCCTAAAATGTATACATCACTTCATTATCACCTCATTCCATGTATATGTAACCTTTATGTCTCCTCCTCAAATGTATACATCACTTCATTATCACCTCATTCCATGAACATATAACCTTTATGTTTCCTCCTAAAATGTATACGTCACTTCATTATCACCTCATTCCATGTATATGTAACCTTTATGTCTCCTCCTAAAATGTATACACCACTTCATTATCACCTCATTCCATGTACATATAATCTTTATGTCTCCTCCTAAAATGTATACATCACTTCATTATCACCTCTTTCCATGTACATATAACATTTATGTCTCCTCCTAAAATGTATACATCACTTCAATATCACCTCATTCCATGTACATATAACATTTATGTCTCCTCGTAAAATGGATACACCACTTCAATATCACTTCATTCCATGTACATATAACTTTTATGTCTCCGCCTAAAATGTATACATTATTTCAATATCACCTCATTCCATGTATATGTAACCTTTATGTCTCCGCCTAAAATGGATACATTATTTCATTATCACCATGTACATATAACATTGATGCTTCCGCCTAAAATGTATACATCACTTCATTATCACATCATTCCATGTATATGTAACCTTTATGTCTCCTCCTCAAATGGATACATCACATCATTATCACCTCATTCCATGTACATATAACCTTTATGTATCCTCCTTAAATGTATACATCACTTCATTATCACCTCATTCCATGTATATGTAACCTTTATGTCTCCTCCTAAAATGTATACACCACTTCATTATCACCTCATTCCATGTACATATAACATTTATGTCTCCTCCTAAAATGTATACATCACTTCATTATCACCTCATTCCATGTACATATAATCTTTATGTCTCCTCCTAAAATGTATACATCACTTCATTATCACCTCTTTCCATGTACATATAACATTTATGTCTCCTCCTAAAATGTATACATCACTTCATTATCACCTCATTCCATGTACATATAACCTTTATGTCTCCTCCTAAAATGTATACATCACTTCATTATCACCTCATTCCATGTACATATAACCTTTATGTCTCCGCATGAAATGGATACATTACTTCAATATCACCTCATTCCATGTATATGTAACCTTTATGTCTCCGCCTAAAATGGATATATTTCTTCAATATCACCATGTATATATATATAACCTTTATGTCTCCTCCTAAAATGTATATATCACGTCAATATCACCTCATTCCTTCTATATATAACCTTTATGTCTCCTCCTAAGATGGACAGCGAAAGTACTATGTTTGGAACTGTTATAAAGAAGATGATGGACTAAGGTGGACTATATTATTTCATCATATATTACATGTACACCGAGTGAACATTTACCTCATTTTTGTATTTATCTATTTATTATATATATCATGATCACCTCCTGATAGGTTTATAACACTTATATAACAGCACCTAAAATATACAAAATATCACCTTTATATCAGCAGGATATAATATATTTTAATATCACCACCTACAATGTATATATCACTCTCAAAGTGTCTACTTACCGGTATATCGCTCCTGTTACCATGCTTATATCACACACACACACACACACACACACACACACACACACACACACACACACACACACACACACACACACACACACACACACACACACATACAATGTATATATATATATATATATATATTTCATAACGACCAAGGGATCGTCTAAACACTGACATAACCATTTGCGATTGGTTACCAATGTAAAGCGTCTGCAGAATCAACAGATGATACCGGGATTCAAAGAAGCATATCTAATTACTGTTCCCATGATCTGTTGTTTCTCGGCTGACACAGCCCCCACTACACCCTTATCTAGGAATAACGCCTTCCTTATCGAGACCCCGCTTTTGCGTTCTCGAAAATACGTGTCGTCACGCGCAGGTCAGGTAATAACACGTGACCTTCTTCAGCATTTACCACGCTCCCATGAAGATAAGACGTTGCCGCCCAACTGTCTCTTCAGCAACAGTTGGACATCAACGCAAGAATTTTTTTCGGAATCGGTTATTAGAACGTCCATTTGACAGCCTGTAGTCATGGCGTCGACCTGGATATACATCACGCTGACGATGTTGCTGTGTGTGGAGTCGGGAGTGTCAAGGACGTTTCGAGCTGCAGTTCTTGAACATGCACTGCACCTTCCCAACACAACTTCAGTCGTATCCAGGCAACAAGCACTGACTTATGTTGAGCCTAATCTGGCCGAATTCGAACGCCAAGCTGCAATCGCTCGTTCACAGGTAGGACACTTCGGGGCTAAATGATGTATTTATGACATGTTATGAAATATTTCCTTTATAATGTAGACGTACATGTACAGCATGGGTGGTAGTAAAATGGATAGAGCGCCTGCCACGAGAGCCGAAGATCAGGGGTTGGATCCCCGGCAGCGTCATACCAAAAGACGTTACAAGATGGTACTTGTTGTTACCCTGCGTGGCGCTCGGCGTTTAAGGACAAAACAAGAACTGCTCGGCTCGGAGTCGGTATACTGTGTCTGAGTAGGGTATTCATGTTAAAGTGGGGCATGGTATCTCAGTGGGCTAGCACTATAAAACCGGTATTAGTGCGGACTGGTACAAACAGCCGCTCATAATTAGTGACTAATCCTATTTCACCTCACCTGACATATGTAATGTTAATCTCAAAGACGTACACGCGGAAATAATCAGAGAGCCAACCTGTCTAGCCGCTTTCCGAAGGTCAAGTCCCGACTAACCCAAAGTATTCTAATTTTAACCAGTCAAATCACTGACCAGCTGCCACGTATCGAATACGATACATCTCTGGTCAGCCTGCAGTATCCCGCAACTCATCCACAATGTCAAGCTTCAGTGGCCAACCGGCCATTCTCTAGCGCTGATAAGAAGCCATGCTGTTGACCATAGTAATAATAGCCCAGTTTCTGTAAAAAATTGTATTGGGCAGCGCTGTGAATATTTATCTTTATATATTTAACTTATTTAACTCAGGGAATATAAAAGACATATATAACCCCCCTGTTAAAACCTATACCCTGCCAAACTGCCTACGATATTAACTTAACTGCTATAATGATTGTGAGCTCTCCGCAAGGCCACAAACTTTGCCTCCTGGTTGCACGTGCACCACGTGTCGTTCACACAGGATGTGAAAATTCATTGTGATCCGATGATGCGTTCAGATGCAACGTCACGGTATTTAAAATGTTCATCTCAACCATAGTTGCATTCAAATCATATGTTCCCCTGTTTTTCTGTGAGTAAAGCATATCATCAACGATCATTTAGTAATTGACATTCAGAAAGCTGTACTGCTCTGAAAGAACCAGAGTGGTTCAACAAAATCTTGACTGTAAGACCTCCAGTAAGCTGGGTACCGAGTAACAAGATCATTTTTTTTAACACCAATTCCCAGACAAGCAGAATAAAACACCGTGTGGTATTAAGCGGTAATAAAAAATCGAGAAGAAAATGGTACTCATCTTTAATCTGATTTAATTCTCACAGATTCGTTCTGCTCTGCGGATGCCTGCGTATATACCAGATGCAATAAATCGCTCATGCCACGTACGCTCGATAATTCAGTTTGAAATTAAATTACATTAATACAAAATAAACAGTGTTGTTTACAGGCAGAGATTTTCATCATTTGTATCACAGTAAATTACGTTTATAACGAGCACGCTCATAACGAACTGATCGATATTACAAACCTATTTTTAGACCCGGCCTTTTGTTGTATATATGCTGTAAAAATGCTTATAACGAACAACGGTTATTACGAACTCAAATTCGTGGCCACTCGTTCATTATAACCCTAGTTTACTGTAGATACATTTTTGAGATAAAGATTGAGACCTTTGCATATATACATGTTTGAGTCTTTGGGTAAAAGATCTACAAAATAAAGAGTGAGATGAAACACATTGTCCACTCCAAACATAACCCTCACCAGCACAACAATTGCTTTACATATATTACCCAAACAGGTTTTTTCTCTGTTGTTGCATAAAGGATCATATTATAGGGCACTCGTGAAGAGCAACCTCCTCGTGGTGAGTGCTGGGTAACGCTAATCGCTCTTCCCCCGTGTGGAACCGGGGCAGAATATTTCCACAGCCTCCCATTGCTGGTCGTATGAGGCGACTAAAATGGGCAACCTGTTTGCCGTGGGTTGCGCCCCTGTGTCGGCGGAGGACGGGATTCTGGTGGTTGAGGGCATTGGAGCCAGGAACCGGTGTTCCTTTTGCCCAACACACCACTTCGACCCTTACTTCGCCTAGACGGGTGGTAGAATAGGCCCGATTCTATCAATCGGCTGGTCACGCCATGCCCTGTGTATGCAACACGTTCATATTATAATTTTTCGATTGATGTGACTGTTGGGTATGAATCTTATACATATACATTCTTTGTTATCAACTTGCCTAGAGTCCCATGCCAGAAGGCGGTGGCTCATGGGCCAATCTGGTTATATAGACCTCTGAATTCTGTGTTCTTGAGAAATGTGTCATGGGCCGAACCAGCCTGGCATTTCTTCTTTAAGATATCATGGCTTTTTATGTCTGTATTTTCTGGAGTATAACACCTTTGTAGCCCTGATGTTGCAGACTGGCTTCCGCTGCGACGTCGTCCTTGTTGTCACTCGATGGTGGGTGGGGAACAAGGGTGTTGAATTCTATTCTTCTACCATGTCTCACCACGCTTCTTCTGGTTCATCAAAGACCTACAAACGTAGACATGTCGATTGTATTTCATCTGAAGATGAAGATAATCCTCCAAATACTGTTTCTTGGCCTCGGTTTATAGTCATTGCCTCTGCCGATGGCAGTCCATTGAAATTAAACCCGTTTGCTATCTCCAAGGGCATAGAAGGTGCCTGCGGAGTAGTCAAAAATGTGACCCGACTCCGAAGTGGTTCAATTCTGGTTGAATGTTTACAGAGGCAACAATCTGTTAACCTGCTGGGACTACAGCAGTTCGTTAACACCAAGGTTGTTGTCTCTGAGCACAGGACTCTGAACTCCTGTCAGGGTATCGTTAGAGACTATGCTCGGTGTCTTTCTGACATGAGCGAAGAAGAGATTGTAGATGAACTAAAGGTACAAGGTGTAACCGCTGTAAAGCGTTTCACCAGAAAACAAAATGATAAAATCATCAAAACAAATACGTACTTGTTCACTTTTGACCTGCAGAAACTCCCGACTTCTCTCAAAGCTGGTTATTTCAACATCGGAGTGGAGATATATGTACCAAACCCACTCCGATGCTTCAAGTGCCAAAAATTTGGCCATGGGGCTAAATTCTGCACCCGCGCCACTGTCTGCGTCCGTTGTAGTGGAGCTCATGAGAGCTCCGACTGCTCTGCTGAATCTATCAAATGTGCAAACTGCGATGGTGTCCATGTTGCTTCATCGAAAGTCTGCACATCATATATATACGAGTCCCAAATTCTCAAAATAAAATGCACCCAAAATATCTCGTATCACGACGCAAAAAGATTAGTTCAACCACAATCCCAAACTACTGCTGCAAAAACTTATTCTGCTACCGTCTCTTCGCCACTTCCTGTCAAGAAAGTTCATACAATTTCCACTTCTTGCCAAACAACTTTATCCTGGGTGACAGACCGGCAGATCACCCTGGAGGATGTGCCTCCTATCACTAGAGCACCATCACATGTCTCTACATCAGCTTCACAGACTGAATTCGATCATCATGACCAAGAAACAGTTAAAGCATTGGAAAAGGTCAAGGGCGGTGCCCACTTGACCAATAAAGAAAAGAAACAGATTAAGAAACGAGCCAAGGCCCTCCTACACCTGGAGGTGCCTTCTCATACGCCTAACCATGTTGAGGTTCACAATTCGTTTGAACCTCTGGAGATGGAGGTCACTCCTTCCAACTCCATACCTGGGAGTGGTCCTCCCCCACGTTCCAGATCACCGGTTGAGCCGCCATGAGTTGCTCTCCAAATATCATCCAGTGGAATTGCAGAGGACTAAGAAATAATTTTAATGATTTGCAATTATTAATACAAGATCATAAACCATCAGCATTTTGCCTCCAAGAGACTTACTTGAAAACCACTGATTTAATGGATATCAGACAGTTTAATTCGTATCATTTCTATTCACCTCCGGGTGCTAAAGCAACTGGAGGTTCTTCTGTCTTGGTGAGGCAGGGTGTTATTCACAGCCCTGTAACTCTTGATACCCCACTTCAAGCTGTCGCTGTCCGTATAACCCTGCACATTGTTCTAACTCTATGCTCTGTTTACATCCCTCCATCATCTTCTATGACGCAGACTGACCTTCAGGCCCTGTATGACCAGCTCCCGAAGCCATGTATTATTATGGGCGATTTCAATGGACATAACCCACTTTGGGGCAGTGCGCATACCAGTAATAAAGGAAAGACCATAGAAGATTTCATTTCTGATAACAATTTGTGCATATATAATGATGGTTCAGACACTTATCTACATCCTGGAACAGGTACTTACTCTTCTCTGGATTTGTCAATTACAGATTCAGAAATACTGAATGAATTTGAATGGTCAGTCCATAATGACCTCTGTGGAAGTGACCATTTCCCTACTGTTTTAAAGCCTGTGACCCCATCTGATGTTCCTCCATCGTCAAGATGGAACTTTAATAAAGCTAACTGGGCCTACTATGGAACTCTCTGTACACACAAACTTAAACCTAATCTTTTTATTGGGGTTCCTGATCCTATCAAATGTTTTTCTGATGAACTAACAAAAATTGCTGATGAATGTATTCCAAAGTCCTCTGCGGTTCCTCACATACGAAAACCATGGTTTAATGATGCTTGCAAGCAAGCTAGGAAGGCCAGGAAAAAGGCCGAGCATTATTTCCGTCGCCATCCAATGGTGCATAATCTAAATAAATTTAAGATTCTGAATGCTACAGCCAGGCGCATATTTAAACAAAACAAACGCCAATCTTGGCAACAATATGTCTCTAAAATAAATTCACGTACTCCATTGTCTAGGGTATGGAATATGATTAAAAGAATAAAAGGTAAGGGTTCTAAAACTACCATCCACCATCTTCAAAATGGGGATGACTTGTTGACAGATTCTTCAGATATTGCCAATAAACTTGGTGAAACTCTGTCTAAACATTCTTCCTCGTCGAATTATGTCCCTAAATTCCAATTCTACCAAGAGCAGCAAGAAAAGAAATCTATCAATTTCAAATCAGATAATGGGGAAGATTATAATGAAATCTTCT